AACTGAATTGTATAAAAACCGTGTACCAACATCTGTCTGCTGCATTCTCCCTTCATCTTTTACCCAGAAAATCACACAAGAGCAACAGGAAACTAGTACTTTAGGGGTTGTTTGGTTGAAAAAACAAACAACTGCAAAAATTAAAAAAAAAGTCTCTTGCAAAATTGTAGAGGCTTGAAAACACTCAATATGGTGTTGTAGGGTATGCCTTTTTTTAAAGAATTGCTTCAATTACTGAAAAATTAGCCTCCAGTTTGTTACTGACATGGCTAATGAATGCTTTACTGGTCTACGGACGTATTCCTGCCTGTAGAGTCTAGTTGTTTTAAGTGATGTAGTCTGCAGGTGAGGTCCTAACTTTTAATAACCAACAAAAACTCTCTAAAGAGGAGACCAAATTGCCCATGGGTGTGAGTACGTGACTTGTTGTGTGCCTCTGTGTCTCCCTGTGAAAAACTGGTGACCCGTCCAGGGTGTCCCACTGCCTGATGGCTGCTGGAGACCCTACAGAGGACTGAGCAGCTAAGATAATGAATGAATGAAATACGGTACACATAGAAATGTATATATTTATAGCTCTCCCTGAGCTGCCACCTTACTGTGGTGGAGGGGTTTGGGCGTCCCAATGATCCTTGGAGCTAAAGTTGCTTCCACATCTGGGTCAGCATGGGCTAGTTCAGGAAGCTTACTTGGTTTAACATCTGGGCAGTATGACTGTGGACCGAGGTGACCCCACGGACTGATTGGCTGGCTGAAATTCACACCTACCGCCTCCGATTGGAGGGTAGGATCAGCCAGTAGGGGGTTTCCGCATGCATGAATAATTTTATTCTGGAGTAAACATTTCTGTCTGCAGCATGGAGCTCCCACTCCACTGCGGCAGCAGACTGTAGCGCAGTGGGAAGAGTTGAAAGGAGAGAGCAGTGCGTGTGTGTGTGTGTGTGTGTGTGTGTGTGTGTGTGTGTGTGTGTGTGTGTGTGTGTGCGTGCGTGTGCGTGTGTGTGCGTGTGTGTGCATGCACCTGCGCTCTTGTGGCCTCCTCTGTCCTCTGCTGCAGTGAAATGTCACCTTTCTGGTGGGGAAGGAGCTTGCGTTAGCATGTGAGGTTGAGAGGGTCCTGCCAGCAGTGGCGGCTGGTGAAAAATATTTTTGGTGGGGCTGTGCTATTTTTTTTTAAACAAACTTGTGCTTTCTGAGCTTTGTGCACAACTTCACTATTTCCTGAATTAAGCACAGCTCTTTTATTTCCTGTCTTACATCATTGGACAAACTGATTAATCCAGTCTGTGTCTGACTATTGGCACGCTGCCTTGCGGACCAAGGTTGAAAAATACTGCATTAAATTGCACATAAAATAACATGACCATAAATGGTAAATAGGCAATGCAAGAGGCAAGTAACAAAAACATTTTGTTTAATTTCAACATTTGAGTGAACACGAAAAATTATGAGCAGGTCACTGTTACAGTAATGGTAGTAAACACCACTTAGACAAAATGCCAGAAATTTACACTGTTAGGACTTATGGAAAGTGGAAACACTTTCATAGGAAATAATGTCATCAGTATCCTCTTACAAATGTCATATTTCCCACTTTTTGGGACCATAAAACATTTCTGGTTCTCAATGAGATGTTTTTACTTCAAATGTAAAAACATCTCATTGAGAATCAGAAATGTTTTATTGTCCCAAAAGCTGGGAAATTTGTTTGCTGCAGCAGAAGTGTAACAAGTAAAATGGAGTCAGATTGATGTATGTACAAATTTACCTGAAATGCACATTTACATGATTAAATATGTATAATAAGTACGTGTGTTGAAATTAGTTTTTACAGTTATTGCACATTAAACAATGTACATGTTATTAAACAAATGTCCCGGTTTGTGGGACAACCAAGGATTTCTGATTCTGATTGTCTTGTTTACAGAAATGTAATGTACAGCTTACCTCTGCACCCAGCTGCTGTTCTCCCTGTCCAAACATCCTCCGTTTCTTTGTTGGCTGCTGCACTGATGCGCTGTATTCCTCAGTCAGAGAATGAATGGAGTCCCCAATGACACACAAGTTCCACATCCACCTTCTGTGGATCCCAGCCGTTTTGAATAACAAACACAGAAAGCAATTATAACGCTTTAGCGTGATTGCATCCAGCTAGCCACTGCTTCCTGGTGTACCAATTTTGGGAGAAGCGTCGTGTGTACAGTTTACCTCTCTCCTTGTCCTGCTGGCTTATCTTTACGTCGGGATGATCTGGTCCAAGCTCTTTGACATTAAGTTTTTCCACCATAGTTCTCCTCTCGAACGGATACTGGAGAAGAGACCGAACTGAATTCAGTGGCTGCTGAGATCCGGTATCCATGTTGTAGGCACACTGGCATCCATGTCTACGTCTGCGTCACGACCGTCACAGTCACGACCAAAAACGAGCTGGAGTCGAGACTCTCCGAGTTCTACCGAACACCAACGAAAGCCTTGGCGGTAGCTCTATCGCCCATCATGCTTCTGAAACGTTCTGAAACAACGTCGACGCTGATTGGATACATTCCCATTCCTACCCTTTGATTTTCTTGTCAGTAATTGGACAACTGGTCCCGTCTTGTTTGGGCGATTGAAAAACAGCACACAGCCTCCACCGCTCGGCAGAGACCGGCAGAGATCGGCAGAGACCAATATATATATATATATATATATATGATTTATTTTTGTTACAAAACACACAATTAACTTAGGATATGTGATTATTGTTAATTTTATTTATTTATTTTTTAAAATAAAAATTAAAAACACAGGGGAAACTGGGAGGGCGGCGCCCTATCGCCCTCTACTGGCCAGCCGCCACTGCCTGCCAGATATTGTTGGACAGACATCAACACATTGTTCTGGCAATCAATCAGTCAATCATTCATTTATTAATCAGGACAGCGCATGTTAACATCAGACATGCTGAAACATGCCAGAGTTAGCCATCGGCTAGTTTTCATCTGTAGTCCTGTGCCAGTTGTAGATTCGGCTTTCTACAAAGGGACATAAAAACATTATAGAGTACATACAGTATTCAACAATGTCGGATCACAAAAGCAGCATGTTTATTTCTGATTGGCTTAATGAACTGACCTGAATTGGAATGTTTATTATGTGAAGTGCCTTGAGACGACTCTTGTCGTGATTTGGCGCTATATAAATAAACTTGAATTGAATTGAATTGAAGAGGCAGCAATTAGCCATAGTTAAAAGAGAATAATAATAAAAACAGCAAAATAACAAGCACAGACAGTAAATGCAAAAGTGAAGTAAGACTAGCGGAACAACATACAACAAAAAACACTGTTTAAAAGATCCTATTGACGTTATTAAAAATAAGAGTAAACATGCTAGTAACACTTATTAATAATAGTGAGAATATTTAAAGGAAAGTAAGAGGAGAAAAAGAAAAATAACACGTTGTAATGACGGTTGTCAGAGACGTAAGACCTACACCTACACATGTACAACAATAAAGGGTCACAAAGGCAGTATGAAATATACCTAACAAACTGCCCTAATAACAAACAATGGCAGCATGGGGGTTAGTGTTGACATGTTTGATTAGCGATGAGCCAGTGTTTTAGATGGGCGCGGAATAGGGTGTATGTGGAGGTCTGTGATTGATGTTGGGATGTTGTTCCATTCCTGAGCTGCCCTAACACTGAACGATGACTGACCTAGTGTGCTTTTCCTAAAAGGGATGATGCAGCCGCCTCTGGACGTTCCTCTAGTGACAGTGTGTGTAGGTGTTCTAATACTCACAAATTCACAGAGAGGGTGTGGGGCCATTCCATGTAAAATTTTGAATATTTGAATGCATTTGTGAATAAGATTTTCCCAGTTAAAGAGCCCATACTATGATAGGCTGGCACAGTGGTGAAAATGAGGGGAAGGTTAAATAGCAAGAGGTTAGAGGTTAAATGTTGGTCAAATGTGCTTTTTACCATGGGCGTTGGAAGCCTATGCTCAGGCAGTCAAGCATCGTCTTGGTCTCCCAGCATCAGTTTTCAATGCTTTGGGAGTGAGAATGTGTTGTATGGAACTATGAAGGTGACCAAAACGCGCTGCTACTTGCTGGCATTTTTTCAAGCTTACGAAAATACAACCAACAGAACTCTTTTTTCATTATTATTATTATTATTATTATTTATTTATTTATTTTTTTTTTTTTTTTGCTTTTTGCAAGTAGTGATGCATTTTTGTCAACCAATCAGTGGACTGTGTTGTTACTCCACCCTAACCGTGCCACTCCAGACATTTCTGGACCTACAACAGAAGGGAGCCAAAAATGTCCTGTAACTGGCATGGTCCGGGTAGGTTGTCTGGACAGGTTTAACAGTCAGGACAGAAAAAATAGCAACCCATCGTTACTATTCCATGCCAAAACGGCTGACAAAAATGAGCCATATGTTTCTTGTTGTCCAGGGAATGCCTTGCGATTACCACTGGAGGAGCAGGCCCAAGTGGCTGGGGAGAGGGAAGTCTGGGCCTCTCCTCAGGATGCTGCCCCCACGACCTGAAGCAGAAAAGTTTGGATGGATATTATATGTTTAGCCACATTTGTAAAAATGTGATGATTTTGTGAAATTCATAAATGAACATGTATCAGATTTCTTTGTAGGTCTAATGATCTTAACCCTTTAAGCCCTAGGCCTATTTTAAAGCCTACTGGAACTAATGCCACAAGCAGATTCCTGTCACCTATGTCTGTCTCCATAAAATCTGCTTTACCTCTCAACACAATATCCAGATTGTTTGAGTTTCCATCCAGCATTCCAACTTTTCCCTTTTTCACGATTTCTGAGCCTTTCCTGCCTCTGTTCTTGTTTGATTTTACCTCCTTGGATTAGTGATTGTGAACTCAGCCTGTCTCTGACCCGGTCTCCTGCATCTTCTTCATCTGACATCTGCATTCTGTTTCCTATGTTCCTCTACTCTGGCCTTCAAAAGTACATTTTAAACCTTTCTTTGTTGTCTGTTGTAATTATCAGGTCCAGTCAGGTCCTGCACTTTCTTTTACCAAGGAGCTAATGGGAGCTAATAAAACTTGTAATAAGCAGCTGCAGCTTACTGCTTTCTGTTTTCCACACATTGCTTTTGTGTTTTAGTTGGTTTTATATGTTTAAGTACTTTTAAGGCTGGCTGAAGACCAGATGAACTATTTTCATTTTGTTGTGATTCACAAACCCCTAGAATCAAAACAGGGTCTTTTATTGTTTCTGCTGTGTTCTGTAAAGGCTGTCCTCCGTGCTTTAGTGGTCACCCATAAGCCTATTTGTGGGAGTGATAGCGATGTCAGTGGTAATGGTGTGGACTCTTCTCTGTGCAAGAGAATTAGTGGTGCTAAACGCAGTAATGCCATCAGGGCCGGCCTGGTTATGAGGGCACGTTGCTTTACAACAGGTGGAGAAGGCAAGGTGGGCCAGCTAATAAGAGAGGGTCAAGTTGCAGCAGGGATCACTTTGCTCTGTTGGTATCAGTGCAGTCTACAGCCAGCAGTGGACTGTAGAACTCGTGCACTGGGAGGTGTTTAGATATGTTTGCCAAATTCAAGAGCTTCTTTTCAGGCCCCCAGTTACCAGCTGAATCTGGGACCACCACAGTAGCACCAGCACCAGCTCCAGCCCCAGCTCCAGCTCCAGCTCCAGCACCAGCACCAGTTAAGGTAAGACCTTCTTCTGTTTTGTCTTCTTTTCTGAAATATTAGATTGTTTTATGGTTGTTTTGAGAAAAATGGAAATTCACAATAGCTGTAGGATCTGAGACTACAATCCAGTATCATCACACAGAATAACATGTTGCATCCAGCATGTGATTGCAGTCCATTATCTCATTTATTTCTCCTAAACTCACAGCTTTAGCTTCTTACTTGTTGCTCCATTCATTCAGGAGATCATAATAATTGCCATCCAAATTATCAAATTAAATGTAAAATGTATTGTATATATTTAAAGTCTTTATCAGGTATGGGGTGGATTTGGGGATAATCAGACATTCTTTAAAGAAAGAAAACTTAGACCTTAGAAAACTTAAATGCCTCTCCAATGGTTGATGTTGATGAATCAAGCCAATCATCTGAATAATCTGTGGAAAATGTATTGTTTTTTTCATGTAGGAGGAGAAGCCAGCTGATAAAGAAAATGAAGCAAAGAATGAGGACAAACCACAAGGTGAGTCATGTGAGGTGTTGCTCATGCTGTTGCACAGATTCAGCTTTGGGGCTTCATGTGAATGAAAAACAGGAAATCTTATTACAGAACGTTGTTTTTTATTCCACTTAAATATTCACTAATCCAACTTAGAATACTGGTATATTTTAATATGGATGCGTATTATTTATTGGTAACGCTTCATTTACCCTAATTATTAAGTACTTACAAGGTAATTACATAGTAAGTCAAAGTGTATTGCTGTGTAATTAAGGTGTATAATTGTAATAAAGTGTGATTATTGTGTAAAGCAGTATTTACTGTGAATTACTGATAAAAATAAAAACCAAAATTGAATCTGAGTTACATGGTAATAACTATTTAAGAACTCAGAAACAATAATACACTTTAACTTACTATGTAATTACCATGTAAGTACTTAGTAATTAGGGCACTGTAAAAAGAAGCGTTACCTATTTATTATTATAACACTATTGTCCCATCAATTATCACAATACTGACATCTTTATTTGCAGAATTGACATTTTTTAATAAATGTTTGTGTCATTAAATCTAAGATTTTATTAAGGTTTCAGGCAAATGACAACTCAAACATGTTGATGTCAGTAATTTTTAGGGATTTTAGAACAAGATCAAATAATTTCTTGTAATCATCTGACTGGTTTAGACTGGTTTGGTTTCAAGCCATTTAACTGTTTAAAAGTGTTACTTCTGATCTTTTAAATTGTGGTTCTGTGGGAAGGTAATGAACCAAAAATAACTTACCTGTTGTAGATATCTTGTTTTGGTTGGACAAGCAGTTTAGTTCTGACCAAACTGATGAGCTAACTGCTAGTTGAAGTAGAACCAAAAACAAAGATGGCTGCCACCTTAAAAATAGCTACAGTATTTTCAAAAATGTCTAAACAGTAAACCCAAATAAACTTCAAGTTGAGATAGTATCAGCATCTTTAGCAGCAGTTCGTCTAGTTCCGTGTTTCTCAATTATTCCATCATGCTCCCCCGGGAACATTCTGAAACAAGCTCCTGTTGAATTTGTTTTTGGCCGGATGCAGGAAGGACTAAAGCAATGGTGGTCCAAATGAGAAAGAATTATAATTGGTCAGTCATTTTAATGCGACCTTGCTCACAACATGCCCTAAAGGTCATAAATTGTAAGTCGCTTTGGATAAAAGCGTCTGCTAAATAAATAAACATAAACATAAACTTGCTGCATTTGCATATCAATCTCTTTCCTAACGTCTGGAAGGATGGTCCGAAGCGCAGGTTTGGCTTTGGTTATTCTGGAGACAACAAAGCTCAACAGGAAGTAGCTAAGGCTCTCCAGAAATGTTGCCAGGTTTGTCGATTTTGGAGAAAAAAAGGTCATCAAGGTAGTCTGAAACGTAGTGACTTGTGACCTAGTGACTTTTAACATTCATACAACAAAAATGAACTAAATAATACTACAATAATAATAATAATACTACAATAAAGGACTCTCCTGCCTCTTGTCCCCCGTCACCCCCTTGCTCCCACCTGGGGGGCACGCCCCACAAATTGAAAAGCACTGCTCTGAATCTGTTCATTTGTAGTTTTTGTCCTATTGTTTGGTTTCTTGTCGATATGGGACAACTGCAAAAGATTAGCAATGTGTCACAACAAACCAGGTAAAAAAAAGTTCAGTTTGTTTATTGGTCAGACTGTTAGGGGGCGGAGCTACCAAAAAACACTACAGACCAAAGGTGTTCATCTTGAGCTAGTCAGTCTAACTCCTTTTACCTGAGCAGTTTTAGAAATATTTGAACTCTTTCATGTTTTATGAGTCCACGTGAGCCTTCAGTTAACTTTTTGCAAGCCACATGCAGCTGATGTTCACGTGCCCTTCCACATCCCAGGATGCAACGCAAACCTGGCTATGGTAAGATGTTTGGCTCAAACATGCAGCGTACACATAGTTGCATCAAATTCTTCTATACACAAACCACTGGAGGTGTGTGAAAGCCGATACCACCTTCTCCAGTGGATCTTCATACCTGTGTTCTGTTCTGGACTCTGGTGCAATGGCTGGGTTAACCAAATGAATCCAGGGCTAAGACACATCACAGTTCAATTTAAACAAACACCGCTGGTGTGAAAACACCATTAGTAGCTAAATGTTGTGCTGTGTTCCATTTACTCAGACCTACCTCAACTGAGTTCCAGTCAATGATGCATAACTGTAGACCAGGACTATGCATTATTCTATGGTTGAGGTTGTTGAAATATTGATAAGAAATTTTTACTCTTTACCAGCTGTTACAACAACTCCAGCTCCAGCTCCAGCTGCAGCTGCAGCACCAGCCCCTGGCTCAGCTCCAGCCCCCACAGCTGCACCAGCTAACCCAGACCAAGCTGGACCTGAAGGGTAAGACCTCCACTTGTTCATGATACATAATTTTACTGTGATGTAATCAAAGTAAAAACATAATTAAAGAGAGTAGCTCCTGCGTGTTTATCCCAGAGTCTCCAAACAGCCAGTTCTGTACATTTTACCGATACAGTCGCCACAAACTAGTATCACATGATCAGAACATTGCCCACACTTATTAACCAGATAGGGTGGTGCGATGCTGAGAGGACAGAAACACCTCAGAAGAAAGCTCGACATCTGAGATCTTTATCTCCTGCATCTACATGGGTATTAACTGAGGTATGACCTGAAAGTGGATGAAAAGCTTTTCAGCTCTTTACACATAAGGAGCTCATCGGGGTTACTCGTGGCTCAGCCATGGAAGACATGAAGGTAACAGCTACTGCTAATCCTCTCAGGTTTGGAGGCACTTTTTATTTATGAAACATTGTGTGAAAGAGCATTATTAAATGTTTAGTGGGATGATGAAGAACTCAGACAGGAGGAGATGTAAGCAACATGCAGAAAAACGATCAGGAACGTAAAGGTTATCTGAGGACACGCTGTCCTCTACAGAGCTAAACTGGTGCTGCATGAGCCGATAATTGTTTCATCCAAAGGATCTCATGATCCTAATGGTCCACGGTGGTGTGTGGGGCTACATAACAAAGTGCAGAATTACATGCTTTTTAATGGAGTTTGCAGTTTTACCAGTTCAGCATAAACTCCAAATGCATTACAACATTTCCACTCGTCTAGTTCTAGTCATTTGTTTTGGTCATTAAAAATACACATTTTTCATCATTAGAAATTCTGAAAAATCTTTTTTAAACATCTAAACAGAAATAAAAGATTCTGTCTCTTTTGCTGGATTACAACCAGCCCTGTTGTCAAGGCAGCACATTAGTGTGATGAAAACCTGCAGCTTTCAGATTAGATTAAGTCTGATGAGTCATCTCATTAGCACGACCACTTGCTGCTGTCAGAGCCTTGACACAGCTGCAGTTTTAGCAGGGCAGCATTTTGTTTTCATCATCCTAAACTGTAAATAGGTAACGTTAAAATGTCCTAAAATAACAGTACTCTCATTTTAAATGATCAGAGTAACTCATTAAAAAATGGCTGTCACTTTTAACGTTTTTACTTCAAAACTTTAAATGTTTTGAATTTTTTTTCAATGAAATAAATAAAAGTTGTATAATCCACAGTAATCAGACGTGAGTGAAACCTGTAAGGTGTAATACTGAATGTTCCCCACAAGGGGGCACAACATGAACATTTTATATGATCAAACTCTCTTCACGACATGTTTCTTCACAAAATAATACTTAGAAAAACTAGATTAACAAAAAAATTACTTTCTTAGTGAGTTAAATAATTTGCAACTAAAGTGCAAATGGTAAAATGTGCAGATGTAGCCCACAACTTCTTTTTATTGTGGTGATTTTAAACCACTAGAGGTCTGGACCTCGGATGTTCTCAGCAGCTTCTCATGTTCATACAGGCATCACACAAGTTTAATGAATCTGTTGTGAAAACACTAAAAGTGGGAATGACTGAAGCGAGTTGTAGAAACACATCTAAAACATTTATAATGACCTAAGTTCATGTCTTGGAAATAAGATGCAGTTTAAAGAACAAACCCAGCAGGAATAGTTCATGGGAGTTCCTTTTAGCACCAAACAAGACATTTGCCAGGTGTGATAAAGAAAAATGTCAGATGATTGTTGGTGTTTTTGTTATTTTAGTCAGGAAGAAGCTCCTCCACCACCAATAATCATCAATAAATATGCCGATGAGCAGCTCAGAAGTGTGGCCAAGCGGATGCATGAGAGACTGGAGCTGTACAAGGAGAAGGTGGTTGATCAGTACGCTTCATCACCTGAGATCACCCCTCCTGTCAGTGAGTACAGCACACCTGTCCTCCATACACACACAGCAACACGTTCTTATTGGTGTTACTGGATGTTTACTGGGAAAAAAGAGATGACTCATCATCCTTTCAGCTCCATTGCTACAAAAAGACGAATATGCAAGAGTCATAGAAGAAAGAGCTAGACAAGCAGAGGAGGAGAGGATTAAGAAGGAAGAGGCAGACAAGAAGAAAAAAGAAGAACAGGAGAAGAAAAAGAAGGAAGCTGAGCAGAAGAAGAAGGAGGAAGAGGAGAAAAGGTTAGAAGAAGAAAAGAAGGTGAAGGTGCCCTTGAAGACCAGGATAATTGCAGCCGGGTGGGCTTTGGTGGACTTTGTGTTGAAGCCTATTGAGGACCGTATGGATCCAATTCTGGGGGCCACCATCGATCCGTTCACAGATCGCCGCTACATAGCATGGCTGAGTTTGGTGACTGTGGCGTTCAACTACAACGCCTGGTTCATCACAGCCCGGCTGTGTTTCCCGTACCACACCGAGGCCTCCATCCCTTACTGGTTTGTCATGGATGTCCTGGCTGACCTCGTCTACGCTGCAGACTCCATCCTGTTTCAGCCCCGCAAACAGTTTGTCAAAGGAGGGGACATCATAGTGAGTGTGGAAGGATCCTGATGGTCACTGATCTAAATGGAAATATGTCTGATTGATTTCTTTTTTGTCTCTGTTAGAAAGACCGCAAAATGACAAAGAAGCACTACAGAGAATCAGAGCGATTTCTGGTATTGTAACTCAAACACACGAATCACTCAGACCTGACACACAAGAGCGACAAATGTCATACGTTCATTTGGAGGAGCGATCAGACATTTTTAAAGACACAAAAATGTAGGAGAAAAGTAGTCATTAGTGTTCTTGTTTATTTTTAAACCAGCACAATCTGACTTTGTCTTTGAAAGATGTGGAGATCTTGAAACTTACCTGATAGAAGCTGAATCCAGAGGTTTTAAGAGTTGTTAGTAAAGGAGAGGAACATGTCAGCCCTTCTGTGGGTGGAGGAAGTATTCTTGCTAGCATTAGCATCTTCAAACAGATAGGGTGGTCTTTGCGAGGCCAGGCACCTTGCTTACAAGGACACAGTCCTTCCTTAGTCAAAGAAAACGGTAAAATGGAACAGACTTGCATCACGTGACCGCGGCTTCCACGGGGGTCATGTAACATCACGTGACACGGGAGATAACATTATATTTTACATGTATTAGTTTCAATATGAATACATAACGAGCCTTTAACTTTTAAATTGTGTCTGTTATTAAATTAAAAATATAAGTGAGTTACTACCCGCTAGCCACCAAAGCTGCAACTACAAAGCAACTAACCAACAAGAGATAACTTATTTGGATCTAAAAAAAACATTTTCATTTAGTTGACTTACTTTTAAACTTGAAAATTGTCCCCGAAGTAGCCGCCGGCTTCTGATCCGCCATCCTTTTGAAAATACTGCAGTGTATTCTGGGTAATTTTTGACCAAGGCTAGGCTACAGACACCTCCCATGTATCCTCGCTCAGCTAGCTAAACGGCTAACAAACGGAGAACGCATGCCTCGGTAGAACATGAACATTGGAACACATCTTGGCGGCTCCTGATGATGTATCTCCTAGGCAACCGGGGCAGGGCCAAGACCTCAATGCAAGGTTCCTTGGCATTGAAAAACACCCATAGTTTCCTCATGTCTGCATGGCTCCAGGAGTGGAGAAAAGAGTTTGCCCTCTGCTGGCCATATTGGTGTATTTCTAGAAAAACTACATTTGGTCAGAAAGAGATGGAGTGTTATAAAATACTTTTTTTTCTTGATTTTCGAGGTTTCCATGTGAATAAGAACCCACACCAGATGAACTTGTGACCTTTGTGTTCTGTCTGGTCACTACATGTCAGCGTTGGAACAATAAAGAGTAAATAAATCAAAGTGTGATTCTCACAGCTTCTTCTGTTTTCAACAGGTTGACATGGTGTCGGTTTTCCCATTAGACTTGTTATACCTCAAGTTTGGGTTCAACTCTGCTTTCAGAGCCAATCGTATACTGAAGGTGAATAAACCTATGTTATTTACCGTAATTTCCGGACTATAGAGCGCACCTCAATATAAGCCGCACCAACAAAAAAAAAAGTTTTCTACACACACACGCCGCACTCGAATACAAGCCGCGGCGCAGCAGCCACATGCAGGTCTCTGGCACACAGCGCCTGTACGGCCATAACATAAGATAATTAGACAGAAAGACGCTACACGGAGGTTTTTTGTTGTTGTTTTAATTCGACAAAAGAATTTTTAAAACGGTTGAAGGTGCCTGCAAGTTTAGAGAAGAAAACAGCACTGATAGCATTCATACTTCTGGATGGTTATAAAATAAAAACAGAACTGACACATTATTGCCGGTAATTTGCATGCATGTTTAGAAGAAAAGAACAGCGCTGACACAGCATTAATAAGACCTGGATGATTAGAAAATAAAAACTGCACACAAAACATGCCTGTTAGTAAATAAAACACACATGAATACCAGAAAAAGTCATTCGCTCTCATCTTCCTGTTGCGCACTAAAGCCATTAAAGTCCTCTTCTTCAGTGTTCAGCCTCAGAAGAGCTTCGTCACATACCTTTTCTGTGGCGATGTCAGTGTCGCTGTCATCATCCCCGGGTGAAGCTGGCTTGAATGAGTTCTTCTTGCTGCCGTCTCCAGCGCCGAACCATGGATTCATTCTTGCCAAGCTTACGTGCGGCAGCACTGTTTCCCTCCTTTACTGCCAGATCGATGGCCTTAAACTTACACGCGGCAACATATGAACTCATACATGTAGTTACCATGATGAAGGGGTATGGATTTGAAAACAATTCTTCGTCATACCGGCTGCTTGCATGTGCTAAATTAAAATGAGCACTTTCTTTGATTTCCACTTTTGACTTCCACGTTTCACTTTCTGCTAAAGCGCTCCCTGGCAGGTGAAGGAAGATCTTCAGTAAAGCCGCACCTCATTATAAACCGCATGGTTCAAAGCTTGGGGAAAATGTAGCGACTTATAGTACGGAAAATACGGTAGATTTTTAAGTGCTGCTGTTGTCTCTGTCACTGATATTTATGTACTTCTTTTCAAGTTAGATACATTTTTTGAGTTCAGTGATCGCTTGGAGAGCATCTTGGCCAAGGCGTACATCTGGAGGTAAAATAATTGTTTATCATTGAATTTTTATCATGTAAACAACTAGAGCAGCCACAAAAGAGGGCTGGTTCTCCTCTATCCATTCCTGTATCTTCAGTCCAGCATAACCAGTAACGGGCACTCTTTCTCTTTCAGAGTGATTCGTACCATCGGCTACCTGCTCTTCATGCTCCATCTCAACGCCTGTTTCTACTACGTTGCCTCAGACTACCAGGGCATCGGAAAAACCAAGTGGGTCTACTCTGGTCAAGGCAGTGCGTGAGTACTGGGCCACACTATCGCTGGATGTGTTTCACAGATTTAATCTTATGTCAGACCTCTATGATGGGGCACAACTGGTTTTATTGTTTAAATGTTCCTTTTCCAGATTAGCATAATCTGTTTTGCTGAGACAACAATAGAAAAAAATCTAAAACTTTTACTTAAAACTGAATCCTTGACCAAGTAAATTGTTACAAAAAAATATGTTTTTTTTTACCATACTGTATTTGCAAAGTATACCATCCATAATATGAAAAAGTGAGTTGAGAGATTTTGAATAATTTTTACTGACCTGAAACAAAGGTCAGCGGGAGTGTTTTTTTTAAATCATCCTAATTTAAAAATAAAAAAAAACCTGTATGTTGTATATTTGCTGCAGTTACCTCAGATGCTTCTTCTAGGCGAAGAAGTCCCTTCTGATGATTGCTGAGTTGCCATTTCCAGACACCATGTTTGAACAGACCTTTCAGATGATGAACTGCCTTTTAGGGGCATTCTTTATGTCTGTCATTCTTGGCCAGGTAGCTCTTTTTGTGTAGCTGTGACATCACTCTCTGTTGCTGTTTTAGAAGGATTTTTTCAGCCTTTCGTGCAGAAAAACAGCAGCAAGACATCAAGGGAATCACAAATTCAAAGATTAAATCATAACTTTCCAAAAAATCTACAAAAATCTATGTAAACTTTAAAAATAAAACCACTATTTGTGATCAGTCTAGACCATCTAACGCCCCGTCACCTCCTCCACAGGTACCTGCGCTGTTACTACTTTGCTGTCCGCAGTCTGATCAACATCGGGGGTCTTAATGAACCTCACACCGTCTTTGAGATTACCTTTCAGATGACTAACTTTTTCATAGGCGTCTTTGTGTTCTCCAGTTTGATTGGACAGGTAACAAAGGCTACCTTTTGCACACGTTCTTACCCCAGCATCCCAAACCTGTATGGATCCTGTAACTAGTGTATTAGCAAACCATCACTTCCTCTTCCACATGCTCATGCAGCCATAGATGAATGAAACCTGTAGCAGCTGTCATTAGGCAATCATTACCCGTGTGGTTTTTATGTGGTTCCCTCTGGAGTGTTGACTGTCTGTACCACTTTAACAACAGAAGCTCATTACCTCTACACCCTAAGTAGTTTAATCTGAGTTGTTTTTGAGTTTATGTAGCTGTTTTATCATGTTGTCTCAGATGAGAGACGTCATTGGTGCTGCCACAGCAGGACAAACCTACTTCAGATCCTCCATGGACAACACGGTGGCCTACATGGTCACCAACCACATTCCACATATGGTGCAGAACAGGGTCCGCACCTGGTACACCTACACATGGGACGCTCAGGGCATGCTGGGTCAGTAGATGGAGAGCTTGGTTGAATGTTTTTCAGCAAGCCTAAATGAACAATTTCATCTACTTCAAAGATAATTTTTTTATTACCCTGAATTCAGTAAAATAATTTTTGGTAACACTTTAGTTTATGGAACACAAATTAACCATTAATTAGCAGTCAATTAATATGCATATTAGTGGACTTCTAAGTCTGAATTAGTAAGCGGTTATTAGGTGCTCCTTACTAATGCCGTAATTCTAACGTTAACAAGCCGTAAATTAATGCCCTGTCTTATCGGTCCATTGTGTATTTGTATTCTGTCAGTGTTTGTTTGTGCTCTTGGTGAGCTTTGTTTCTCCAACCTTGGAGTTTTGGACTTTAGGCGCAACGTTTGTTCATGCTCTTGGTGAGCTTTGTTTCTGCAGCTTTGGAGTTTTGGACTTTAGGCTCGCTGCCTGGATTTATGTTGTTCATCCTCCCAAAATAAAGGATTTTACCTTGCATCATCTCCTGCCTCGTGTCATCCTGGGTTGCTGCATATTTGGGTCCTAACATCCTCAAAACGTGACAGTACTCGGCCAGACTACAGAACCGTAATCCAGATATGCCAATACTAAAGCTTGGACTACTTGCCTTAGCAGTTGATTAGACATAGACTTCCTACAGTATCTAACTACAGCAATCCCTCTTCCCATTTTCATCAATACCTGGTCGACATGATTTTTCCATGACATTTGGCTATCTTCTATTACCCCCAATAAATTAACATCCGTGACTTGCTCTATTTTTGTGTCACCTACTATCAGTGCCTAATAATGAATAGTTCAGACGTAGTAGTCCACTAATATGCATATTAATTGGCAGCTAATTAATGGTTAATTTGTGTTCCCTAAACTAAAGTGTTACCTAATTTTTCTGTTTCATTTAAATGTTCAGATGAGTCTGAGCTGCTGGATAAGATGCCTCTAGTGATGAGGACTGCCATTGCTGTGGACATCAACCTGGCAACATTTCAGAAGATTGCTCTGTTTCAGGTGAGTTAGCCAAGGCTGGTTTGGACAGGAAAAACTTGTGCAGAACCGCGAACATGCTTACTTTAGCCTAAAGTGTTAAATCTCTCTGGTTCCTCAGGGCTGTGACCAGCAGATGCTGGTGGACATGTTACTGAGACTCAAGTCCATCATCTACCTACCTGGAGACTTTGTAGTGAAAAAGGTAAGTTGAGAATCATAACATGGTTATTGGCAAAGATGGGAAACTCTGAGTTTAAAATATTTGCTATATCAGCTGATTGAACATCATTGGTTTTGAGTGGTGTTATGTTATGTTATGTTTCTAATTCCTATAATGTTTATTTATTTACCAGTAAAATATAGATAGAAAGATGGAAGAATAGGAAATTACATCTTTCCTCTTACACAATGTCTATGTGCAGCTAAATCTTAACAGTGACCTAGTGACGGTTTAGCTGTGTATTTCTAAGTACTAGCTTAAGTAACCCCAGTCCACCTGGTGTTACTAAGCCTTCATCTCCATCTTGTTTATCTTGGGTCTAACTGACTAGAGACAGCACTGCTGAGACTAAAGGAAGCAAATCAGCTTTATTGAGCTCTTGTTTTTGTTAATAAGAGTTCAGACTGTCATTGTCCTACCAAATAAATGTGTCATTTTACTTATTCAGAAGTCTCAATAATGCAACAAATGTTTGGAGCAGGGGTCTCCAACACGTCACTCTCGACACACTTTAAAGTTGCTCGGCTGGAAGCAGCTAGCTAGCCATCTTGACTTCTTGTAATTAACGAGGGGCGGATTTTTAACTTGTTGGCAAGCAGTCGCCGTTTTCTGCAGTATCTAATCTAAAATATATTTTGTGGAAATAAAATTAAAATTTGAATATTGCACAAGGATCTCAGCAGTTGCAGCTGCGGGTGGATGAAGATGCACTTCTAAAAGAGATGGGGTGACGTCACGTATTCAGACCTGGTTTCAGAAAAACATCTTCAGTAAATGTTTACTCTGGTGTTCACGAGTTTGTGTATGTGCGTGTGTGTGTGTGTGCATGGACGAGTGTGCGGGTGATTGTATGTCCACTTTTGGAAGTTGGGTGCGGGAGGGGAACTGTAATTTTTTAATTGTTTTATACTTGGGGGGGGGGGGGGGGGGGGGGGGGGGGCTGGGATGGGAATGTGGGATCTATAGGGCCATTTTAATCTGTAAAGCACTTTGAGTTGCATTTTTTTTGTATGAAAAGTGCTATATAAATAAAGTTGATTTGATTTGATTTGATAAAATATTCTGGATGACAGTAAAGTCCTCGTTAAACACAGGTTAAATGGTGTTTGCTTATGAACACATGATGAACACAGGCTTCCAACTCTGGACATCTCCTGTGATTTAGTTTCAATAAACTTCCCTCAACACTTTCAGCAGATTTAGTAATAAAACATGATTGTGAACACACACTCTCTCTCTCTCTCTCTGCTGTGTGTTGTGAAGCCCCTAGACATGCAGAGAGTAAACAAACTGCACCTACAATTAAACTTCCAACCTTAATATTGTCAGCAATAAACACAGCAAAGCATCATTTATCTGTAGTTATTCAACAGTGAAGCAAAACTTAACTTTCATGAGCAAAAACCCATTAAAATTATTCAATAAATCAGGTAAGCAGGAAGAAATGTTCTTTCTGTTTTTTACAGTTTTCACTTCAGTTCAAAAACTTGGAATGTTGTGTTTTCATCAGAATTAGCTTGAATTTAATTAAAAATCCCTTCAGTTTTATTCTTTTTATTAGGAAAATTTGTTTTGCATTGTTTGGAAAAATATTCATAACTCAACATAACAATTACTTGCCATTTAGATTTCCAATTACAGAACATTAAATGTAAAAAAACATCATTCACACGAAGTACATTTTTATTTAAGTATCTGAAAGTATCTTATTAGTTAAAAAACTAAAATTGTTTCATTTAGTTTGGTTGTCAGAATGTCACTATTTTCTTTGTACCTTTTTTTATAATATTGATGAAATATAGAGAAATCAACTTGTGAACACAATGCATGTTAATACAGTAAGTATGGCATTTTAACATATTAAATATATTCACACATGGAAAGTATCAATGTGAATAACTCGTATGGCAGTAACTCTGCGATACTTTCATTGTGTAAAAGTAGCTCATGGGCCAAAAACGGTCGGAGACCCTGGTGTAGAGATTCTATTGAAGGAACTGAATCTCAACTAAACTGTCCAGAATTTTAAATGGGATTTTAGGTTGTTTATAAGTTAATCCAAGCAGTCAGTGGTAGTGTGTTTTTTCTTATATACAATCATTTAATTACTTATGCAGATTTGTTTTTATGTCTCTGCAGGGTGATATCGGTAAAGAGATGTACATCATCAAAAGTGGGGCGGTGCAGGTGGTGGGAGGACCTGACAACAGTATTGTGTTCGTCACACTGAAGGCTGGCTGTGTGTTTGGAGAAATCAGGTAATTTCATTGAAATCTTTAGTGATACGTGCATTAGATGTGATTTTTGTTTAAAGGGATACTACGCAGTCTTGGCTTGCTTTTAGCACCCTCTAAAGTCTGTTAGAGAAACCAAAATTTAAACCTATCTCCTCGCTGTGTGATCGTCTTTTTAACACCTTAATCTAAATGGTGAAATGTCTTGTCAGCCTTTATTAGTGTCTACAGGGCAAATCAAACAAATCAGCTGTGTTCATGATCTGAAACATACAGGGAACATACTGGAAGCAGACATCAGTGCTGGCATGTCAGCTCCACTTTTATTAAGTCCAACAGGAACTGGACCCACACTCTGAAGTTGCAAGTGGCCACAAATGGCGGTGGGGGTCTGAATGATATTTCATTAACTCTGTAAAGGGTCATTTTAACACACACTGCCTCAAAAAATGATTTAAAAATGTGAAAAAGTTACATAGTATCCCTTTAATATGTTCATGATGATGTAAATGTCGCATTGAGGTTAGGAGGTTTGGACCCAAAATGCAAGAACCCAGAACAACAGTCAGGAGTGGTTGCAACAATAGGGAATCCTTTATTTTAGGAGGAGTGAAAAACTCAAGAGCACAGGAGGCAACTAGAAAAACGCTGACAAACGACAATGGACCAACAAACACAGAGAGGCAAGACAGGGCTATATACACATGGGCTGGGTGATTAAGGGAACTGTGCACAGGTGAGACTAATAAACTGAGAGGAACAGAATGGGGCAGGGGAGGAAACCGGACCTAAATGGGGAAGGAAACAATACACTAAAGGGAGATACAACCTAGATAATCCAAACATACAGAAAACTAAAGAAAGGTGAACTGATAAACCTAAAACTAGAAACACTCAGGGTTAAATATAGGAACTTAAAGAGACCAGAACCAAAGGAAGAGGAGATCAAATACAGGGGATCTTAATACTGAAAATGGGTGACCTAAATAAGAAGTGAGTAACTGGAGGGAACAAGTATATAGAAACAGTGTTTGTAAAAATGTTAACAAAACTTCTTGTATTTTTAATGGAAGTTTGCTGCAGTCCTCCAAAGATGGTGGGAACAGAAGAACAGCTAATGTGAAAGCCTACGGCTTTGCTAACCTCTTCGTCCTGGAGAAGAAAGACCTGTTTGACATTTTGGTCCACTACCCAGAATCTCAGAAAGTGCTGGCTAGGAAGGGCAGGTGAGTCCAGCCTAAAGGCAGCAGGTAAAGCTTTCACCAATGTCCACAGTTGGTGAAAAATAATAAATTAAGTAATTAAATAGAAATTTGTTTCATTACATAATTAGTTTCACATAATTAAACAATTTTACTGCTTTCTATGTGTATTTTACTGTATGTCTATGGAAATTTTCTTCTAACTTTTGTACTTTTGATGTGTGTGTGTGTGTGTGTGTGTGTGTGTGTGTGTGTGTGTGTGTGTGTGTGTGTGTGTGTGTGTGTGTGTGTGTGTGTGTGTGTGTGTGTGTGTGTGTGTGTGTGTGTGTGTGTGTGTAGGAAACTAATGAAAGCCAAGGGCCCAGCGGCAGCAAAAGTAGAGGAGGAGAAGAAGAAAGGGCTGGCGTTGTTCGGACCCAAACCACCAACACCCAAATTTCTACGAGCCTTTGGAGGACCTTTTAATAAGAAATTCATTGAAAAACTGAAGGTAACAAAACTGTTTTTGTTTTTCTGTACACACGTGCATCTGTAACCACACATTAGAACTAGCTATAGGAACATATCACCCCTAGTGGCTGGCTGCAGTACTAGTTTTAAGCCTCACCCCATCCATGTAAATGAACTGGGTTAGGGTTATGCTATTTTATGATTAATAAAACAGCATAACAGGATTGTTTGCTGATTTTATTACTGTGTTGTATAAGTAGGAGATGCTGGCTTTACTTTTGAACTGTTACATAAGATTCATTGTTCTGTTTTTTGTGTTTTTTACAGAGTTCTAGTTAAACGTGAGGACCCAAGATTTGGAGGGAGGTCTTTTTATTCGTTTTTTATTTTAATATCTTTTTAACTCCGTTTTGGGAGTAACCAATCTTCTTCTTGAGATTATTATTCTTTGTACCAAGGCTTTTTTTTTATTTATTTATTTTTTGCTTTTAATTACATTTAATATTTTAAAAAGACTAATTTCTAAGTCCCAGATTATTTAAACATGTTTAAAGAAGACAGTGGGCTTGAACAGAAATGGTTAAAATACATAAAATGTTGAAACATCTGATCTAGTGTTCAGGTTGATACTCCAGGGCTTGTACTAGTTTTACTGCATTCACTTTTTTATAACAGCAGTTTTAATTACACCTAAAAGCCATCAGACTTTACACAGCAGCTATGTTTTATGTGTTTGGACCTTTTAATCTTCCGCAATAGCCCAAATAAATGCCTGTTTGTTATTGTTGGAATACTTTTTTATCTTTGTTACTTCACCATGTGTCAGTCACCTTACATCTTAACCTGTTGTAGTTCCCCAGCAGATCCCATCTAATCCTGTTAGTTGGGCAGAGGCAGTAAAGGCTGATCAAGCTGGAGTCTCTGTTTGTGAACTCTGCAGTAAAAACACGAACACCGTCATATTTAACAGCTTCTGTCATCCCATAAGTTACCGATGTCATTTCCTGTCAATAAAATTTTATTTAAAACTAAACTTATTTTGTCTGAAAAAACATCAGATCGATTTTGAAAGAAGTTAAGATATTCGTATGCATTCAGTATGAAAAATGACAACACCAGGCCTTATTTAAATGTAATTCCGCCTTCATGTCACAGTGACTTTTATTATTCACCAACCAGAGTCTGATAATGCAGTGACACTTAGAATGGCTAAGATGGACAGACTATGGTCACTAAAGCAGGAAAAACCTGATTGGTGGATGTGAGGGCTCATCTGTTGAAGAAAGGGGAGTGCCCAAGAGGAATTACTCATTCTGAGAATTTTCAAAGCCTTCGTTGGTTGTTTGGTTGGAAGACGAGGAGCCAGAGGGTTTCTTTTAGCTGAAGGAGGAGAAGTACCTCTCTGTAGTCCACATAGACCTCCAAAACATGTTCAACTGGTTGAAAAGGGTTGTAGGGGCTCCAGAACCTCCCCCTGCCCAAGCAGCTGCTCCACCTCCTACACCCCCTCCACCAGATCAGGTAAGAACTCCATCACCTTCTAATTTACAGACCAACTTTTATTTAATTCAAGGAAATGTCTAGAAACATTCTCTCATATTTAAAGCTAAATGTGTAAAATGTTATTATTTTAAATTCAGTTATTACATGGATTTAAAATGTTTGATTCTGTTCTTACACATGCTGAAAAATAAACAAATTCATATTTGGACTCCCGATTTTTCACAAAGTCTGTCTTTGGCGACATCAGTGCAGGTGACTGGAATCTCTGAAAGCCTCTGAAGCAACTTGGCACTGAAGTGAGGAAGAGGAGTTTAGTAAATTTCTTCAACAAGGAGATGTATTTTTAGTGTCGGCCAAAGCCACATCTCCAGTTTTATGTCTGTTTCTGTTATTCTAGTCAAAGATTCTCATTCTTAATAGCCTGGCCAGCCATGCTCATTGGCATGGTAATGCTCCCATTCACATTCCACACCCTGAGAATTTTAACCTAACCAATCACCGCTGAGCATCGTACATTACACACCGCGACGCTCAGTTACTCATAATCAACGAAGATGGCGTCTGAAGCGAAGTTTGCTGCTGGTCCTGTCATGTTCTGTGTCCTGCGTCCTCCTCATGTGTCTCCTATTCAGCGTCCCTGTGCTCCTGTCTTGTTCTGTGTCCCTCTGGTCCCCAGCCCCTCCTGTTCTCTCTCCAGGTTCTCCTCTTGTGTCTTCTTTATTATCCCCAGCTCTCTCTAGGCTTCCCTCAGGTGTCCTCCTAATCACTCCCTGTTAGGCCCTATTTGATTTTATATTAGTTCTCCTCATCTCTCTAGTTACTAGTTGTTTATAACCCTAACCCTAACCCTCAGTCTCTAAGTTTAGTTATCCGTGTTTTATAGGTTTAGGTTTATCTGCCCTCCTGCTTGTTTCTTTCCCCCCATTTAGATTATTGTACGCATCTGCCTTCCCTCCAGCTCTCACTACTCACACCTGTCACCTGTTCCCCTGATCACCCCACCTCTGTGTTTAAAACCCTGTTTTGTCCTTCAGTGTTTGTCTGTGCTGTTCTGTTCTGTTCCCTCCCGTGTTTTGCCTGAGTCCGTGCTCATGGTTTGAGCTCCTGTTTTGTGTTTGACTGCTGGATTAAGCTGTCGCCTTAAAAATTACTTCTTTACATCCGCTCCTGTCATGAGTGATCTGGTGTTCTGTGTTTTTGGGTCCTAACCTCCTGCTCAGCGTGACAGCTCCTTCCTCTGTTCTGAATAGCTTAGACATGTCTTTAAAACCACAAGAAGAAGCGCTAAAAACCTTTCGTCTAAAGTAAGATGTTTGCACTGCCGCCTGACGCCATCTTCGACTACAGCTAAAATACTAGACTACAGTCGTCATCTCCACCTTTTTTTCTGATTTTTTTCTTCATTTCAAATTCAATTCAAATATACTTTATTATATTTTAAGCTGGCTAGTCCAGCTCTCTGCCTCCGAGTATCCAGACTTGTCCTCTGTGTAGAACAGACATTCTTAAGGGCATTTCTTAGCATTTGGACTCCAGATTGAGCATAATAAACTTTGGTCACTAGAAATTAAGGTTCTTGTCACATCTAAAATATTTTTTATAACTTAAGTAAAGTTATAAAAAGAGTCGTGTGACCAACTCTAAATACTTTTGTAACATATTTACTTTTTTTAAGGAGGCAAAGCCATCTGAAAATCAGGATAAGAAAGACGACCCAAAATCCAAACGTGAAAATGTTGAGAAGAAAGATGAGGAGACGAAAGAAGAACAAAAGAAAGAGATTAGGACAGATGATGACACCAAGAAAGAGGAACCTGAATCAGGTAAGAAGGTCAGCAGCCTCGCCTCTGTCAGTGCGCCCCAGGGCAGCTGAGGCTACATCGTAGCTCATCCCCACCAGTGTGTGAATGTGTGTTTGAATGGGTGAATGACTGATTGTGTTGTAAAGCGCCTTGGGGGGTTTCAGGACTCTAGAAGACGCTATATCAAACACAAGCCATTTACCATTTACATTTGTCTGATTTCATATAAAACTCATTAGTTTGACTTGAGGTAAACAATACGGTAATTAGGACTTTAATAAAAGTAGAATTCAGATCCTGATTTTAACACAGTTGTCTATGGGGATATATTGATCAATAGTTCTTCCTTAGATTTTATGACCTAGACAAACCCAAACTGGTTTCCATCCTCGCTCTTCAGGTTGAACACTCCACCATGACTCTCTAAACACGAACCCCTTCAGATAATAACATGCAGATACAAAATTTGGTTATTTTATTATAACTTGTCGAGTTCTGGTCTCAAGCAAAAGGAAGTCTGTCATGTTGAATTAAAGACACCATTTATTCATTTGACCAATATGTGACTTCTGGGATTAAATGTCAATTGAGAGTCTTGGGTTTTCTCCCAGATGTTGGAGGAATTTTTCAAACTGAGTTTGTGGTTTGTGAAAATGTAACTGTAACATACCAGTTATAAGTTAAATAATCATATGTGATGAATGAACAAGATGTTTTAATCAAATGTTTGAATAATCTGTGCTTAATCAATGAATTTAAAATGAATATTGTTCTTACAATGATCCATTTATATCACAAATCACTATGTGTTTGATTTAATAAGTAATCATTGTTTACACTCATACACATCACATAAGAGTTTGAACATTCTCATTCACAGTGTTAAACACATCTTTGTATCTGAAGGAAGGCGTGGCTTTCTGAGGAATGTTGGTAAATACTTCATCACATACGATTATTTAACTTATAACTATAAAATCATGGAGTTTTCACTTGTTCAGAGTGAAGAATGTTGACGTCTGGCTTTCACAGAGAGTGCAGGAACCTTGGGAGAGAATGTTTGAATGTTTTGTCTTCATGGAATATCAACACGCGCTGGGCAGAACCTTCTGGATTTAGAAGGCCAAATAGAAAGTGGATTTATTTCCGTAGATGAAAGGTGAATATGTTGTTCAATATATAGGTGAAAATAGACCCTATTGGTACGTTACATAACTAAAGGTCATTTTAGTGCTTTGTTTACCGTAGTTGCTCGTAATACAGTCCAGGTGTAAAAACACACCAGAATATAAATTTCTTACTGTTTCAACGTGACTATAAAGTTTTCACAATAAATGCATTGTGTTTGAAATATTGTGTTTTCGTGTGAAACAATGTGGCCTAGTGCACAAGGCTAAAGACCGGATGTGACAGATCATTTGCTGCTGTGGTCCCCAGATTCTGGAACTCTCTCCCCCCTGAGCCTGAGTTCAGTGGTCTCAGTGGTCTCCTTCAAAAAGCAGCTTGTAGCTGGATACATACCTGCACCCTCCAGTTAGGGGCTCTGCCACCTTTGTTTCCATTTAAAGATGTACAATGGAACTTGATGGTTTGGTTAATGGCTACCAGCTCTCACATCTCAGTGTCAGTATTTTGTTTGTTATTAGAAACAAACTTGAGACTGTTATCTCCTGCACCACCAGCTCCAGCACCACCAGCTCCAGCACCACCAGCTCCTGCACCACCAGCTCCAGCACCATCAGCTCCAGCACAACCAACTGCTCCTGCATCTGATGACCCAACCAATCCAGAGGGGGGTGAAGGGTAAATGTTCACTTTAGTCTTTCTACAACCATTTTTTCCCAGTTTAAATTTGTTTAAACTCAATCCATTTGTCATTTGTGGCAGCCAAAGAACATATAGCTGTGGATATTTCTTACCAAACACAACAGATATCTGAAAGCATTTATGCAACCAATCAATGTGATCAAATAACAAAATAGCTTCTTTGAAGGGATTGTCGTTTGTGCATGGGCAAAAATTTTGCAAGGAGAAACATTTCACAGCATAGTCCATTTTAGGTGGCAATGCAATAAAACCCATTTTATTCTCTAAAATGAAAAACTGGTGTTAACAGATTGTAATGGTAAAGACTTTAAGTTGCCCTTTAGAAGGTTGATTTAAAGTGTTTATAACTCAGGAAAGGAAAACAAATCCTGTCACAAGCTGTTTGATGCTTGGACACCTAAAGCAGGAGCTTCTTCTTCCCCAGCACCAAATCAAGCTCATTCCCAGTACGGGTTTATGTTGACACAATCTTAAAAGAGATCACAATTCCCATTAATGAAATGCTTAAGTGTGCTCTCGCATTCTTAGTTTTTTTTCCTCTGGTAAAGAAGTTTGGGCTGGCATTGTTCTGCACTTAGCATTACTTAGTATTACCGCCACCAACACTTGTATATAGCCAATGTTGAAGTGGGTTGGGACAAGCAACTTTTGCAGCTTTTGTCAGAACAAACCGTTTTTCCAACACTATTACAAAATTACAGATTTTTATAGGAAAGCAGGCCGAAGATGGCACAGAATATTTTGGTAAATTAGACCTCCCAAGCTGCCGATATTCAACAACAAGGTAAATGCAATTTTGAAATCCAAGCAGTCATGGGGAACCACAGAGTCTTGTTTATTTATGCAGATATTGTAGTTCTGTTGACATCTTTAAGCTCTGACCATTAGCATGTGTACTGAATGTTGATATGATGTCCCCAAAGAGACACACCACCCTACAGTGTATATAGCTACGAAAACCAAGCTAATTCCTATGCTACTTAAGTTTCAGACGTGCCAGCAGCTATTTGCCAACCAGCTCAGTGATCAGCACCTGCTCGAGCTTGGTCTATTTAAGGAACTCCTAGTGCTTCTTTGTCACCATGAGTCACATTAGCTTCACAACAGCATCATGCTGAAAACAGTAAGAGCTGACTGGACACACACACACACACACACACACACACACGCACACGCGCGGGCACAACACACACACACACACACACACACACACACACACACACACACAACTCCATATCAATCTAAAGGGTTTTCCTGCTCTGGAATATCAATAAAGTTAAAAAAACAATCTAATATTCTTTAAATGTTTGTCAAGATGAAAGTACTAATTGAGCATGTACTTGTAAATATTATCCTTAGCATAATGGGTAAAATTCCAGCATACATTGGTTTTCACTTTTAAACATGTTATAAAAACTGAATAATGAAAATGATCCCTTGGTGACCTGAAACATGAGTCCTAATTCAGGAAAGGAGATTAATAGCTTAAACATATTTGTGACAGCATGATCAGTGGGTTCACATGAAACTTACAGCTAATTTAACAGGGACATATGATTTTCTTTCTAGTTACAACGGGTCTATTTCCATGCAAAATATGCTCATGAAGTTTTTGGCACAAAATTTGTCTCACATGAAGTGATCTCAACAGCTCTATTCTTGACTTTTCAGTACCTTCCTGAATGAGCTGTTTCAGGGCAACAAAACAAGCTGATGCTGGCCATGCCCACTGATAGGCTGAGCATTTATCACACTTGAAAATTAAAAGTTAACTCATTCACTGCCAGCCGTTTCCTGATCACTAACGGCCTTCGCTGCCAGCGTTTCTCACCGTTTTTACTGTTTTTTAAGAGTCACAGAACATTGCACGCTAGCATATTGATGCCAAAACAACCAAAACAAAGAGGAGACTCATCTCTTACATCAGGAAGAAGCCGCGTGTTTCGAGCGTTATTCGTTCTTTCATAATCCGTTGTCGAATTGTGATCGGCAGACGCTTTTCCGGTTCGAGTCTCACTTTTTTTACAGGAACGGCCCAAAACGATCTCCAAACACATGAATGTGTTGCTTCCTGATCATGTGATCTGTGACATATGCGGATAAAGATCGGCTTCAGGGCTGAGATGTTTGTTCTCTCAGCGCGGGGGCTCGTTCCGATGCTCAAACAGTAAAAAAAAAATGCAAATGACGACTTAAGTCATCATTGGCAGTGAATGAGTTAAGGGTCACATTCCTGCTTTCTCTACCAGCAGCATTATAGATCTGCTGACACATCCGAATGATTTAAATCCAGAAGTCATTTAGGTGGTTTGTTTATTCACCCAGCTATGCATTTATTGGACATGGACACATTTTATTGGTATCATTTGGTCAATGAAAGAAAAACCCACAATGGTCACATAAATAACTTGAATCCCACAAACGTAATGAATAAAAACTCTATGAAATGTAACCAATGAAAGTCAGACATTGCTTTTCAATTATGCGTCAACAGAATTGTTTTAGAAAAGGCACTCATCGACAGGCTTGGACAAAAATAATGGTACCCCTAACTTAATATTTTGTTGCACAACCAGCTCAGTGGCCTAGTGGTATGAACATCCACTTTAGGAAAAATCCCACTTTTTACCCTTGTTTTTATGTGTTTTATTTTGAAACAGTTTTTCTTTTTTCTTCCTCCTTCTTCAATCCTTTGAAGGCTACAATGAGAAAGGTGATGAACTAGTCGTATAGTTTTGCAGTTCTAGCTGCTTAACTGTTTTGTCCCATTCTGGCTGAACCAGAACTCCAAAACACAACACAGAGAGAATTGAGGTTGAGAAGAGAGTTTCCTCATGTCCATTAAACTAATTTTCCTCATTGTGAGACCACAATAAGTGGCCGTTTGAAATTTCTTGTTTTAGTCATAATTTCCTAAAACCAAGCATTGACAGAAAATAGAGGGGCGGTTTAATTTGCATTTGTGTGAAGAGGCAGTAGAGACCTATATGGCTGCACAAAAAGTTTTAAAAGTCAGATTTGCATAATATGTCCCCTTTAATTACTGTT